TAAGTTATATCTCCTAAGAAAAATAGAAAGAGAAAATACTTCCTATAATATTACTACCCCTAGAAAGTAATTTCTTATAACCTTACCTATCTATACCTCCTAACCTTATTTCTTTCTTTACTTTTATTATTAAGATTACTTAAACCCTAACCTTATAATAAATATCACTTACTATTAGATAAGTAACTAGAGAACTAAAAATAAAAGTTTAAAAATATTATATTAGTAATTACTAATAAGAAAAGGATACCTACTAAGAAAGATAAAAGGTATACCCTAGAGAGGAAGCTATAGAATAGATTATAGAACTCTATAAAGAAGGGTTATTATAAAAAATACCCTAAATATAGTTAAATTATTCTATAAGAAATACTAGCTAAAATATAAGTAGGTAGATAACCCTATAGTCTATAGTATATAAGGTAAATTAACTATAATCACTTAAACCTAAAAAGATAAAAAGGAATATAGAAAGGTTAAGTAATTAATAATTATTATACTCTAAGTATATAAAGATATATTTAACCTCTTACTAATATTCTAATAGGACTTTAAAGAAATAGATATAGTAAATTAGGGAATATTCCTAATAAGTAGGTTACTACTATTACCCCTATAAATAAGTATAAGAGGAGGTAAGTAACCTAACTATAAAGAAGTATACTAAAGATATATAAGAATCACTAAGAAAGGTAATAGGTATATATAAATAAGATAATAAAAGGGATAATATAATTAAATAAGTTATAATTAAAGCTAGTAAGGAAGAGATAGGCTTTAATAGCTATAATAACTTATATAAAGATAAGGGTAGAGAGGAAGTAAGCCCTTACTAGATATACTAGTTAACTAGAAATAAAAGGAAAGAAATAGTAACTACTATTAAAAAGTTATTAGAGAGTACTAATAAAAGAGTTTAGATTAACTAATAACTTTACTAGCTATATAGAGAAGGGAAAGGACTCTTTATCTATAAGCTATTATATAGATATATTTAAATACTAACCCCTTATCTAAATAGTAAGTTACCTTATACTAAACCTAATACTACTTATAGAACTACTATATCCCTCTTCTAATAGTTATTAAATATAAAGATAGTAAAAGTAATCCTTTTAGTAGAAGAGGAAAATAATAATAATATAGATATTACTAATCTCTTATAGTATAAGAAGGAGATTACTACCTTATATAATAAATACTAAAAACTATAGGAGGAGAACTAGGAGCTATATAGTATAATAGTAGAACTAGTAAAGGAATAGAAGTAAGGAGAGAATATTTATTAGAAAGTATACTAGAGTATAGGATAAGAATAAAGGCTAGTATATAAATAAATAGCTAGTAAAGGTAAAAGGAATTAGTAATTACTTACTAATTATATTTATTTATAATATCTTATTTAAATAAATATATACCCTATTTACCCTATTATACTAAATAAAAAAGGAAGGTTAGATATCTAAGAGGAAGGAGTTCTAATAAAGATATTAGATATTTCCTATTAAACTAGGGTATTATTATACTAATAGATATTTACTAGGTAGTAAATATTAGTAATAGTTAGTAAACCCCTATTTAAGTAAGGAACTACTATTATAATAAGTAATTATTAGTAAAATATAATAGTAAGTGATCACTACTATAGCTAGTAACCTAAAGAAGGGATTACTATTAGATATTAGTAAGTAAGAGCTAGCTAATAGAAGATATAAAAAGATAGTAATCCCCTAGATAGAAAAGATAAGAACTTACCTCTAAATATATTAATACCTACCTTACTCTATTATAATATAAATAGGTATAGTATATATAGAACTAAGTTACCTATAATTACCTTAAAAAGATAGATAGTACTATCTTACCTACTAACTTACTTATAGATAGTTTAACTAACTATAAGTAAGTAGTATAATATTTTATTATAATAATAACCTACTAATACTATTTAGACTAAAAGATACCTATTACTAATAGTAAATCATCTAATAGCTATAAAAGAAGGTTAAGCTAATAGGTAGTAACCTAGCCTAATAGTTTTTAAAGATCTATATTACTTATAATTAGTAGTAATAGCTACTATAGCTATTAATAGCTAACTATATTAATAAGATAGCTATAAAATATAGTATTATATTAGAAGTAAAACTAACTAAGATTCTAATAAAGATAAAGCCTATAAAAGCTAAAGAAGAAAGCTAAGTTCTTTTAAAATTACTTATTACTAGATATTAGGGAAGATAAGATCTATCTTATATATCTATATTATTCTATAGCCTAACACCTTTAAGGTATATATTAAACTCACCTACTATACCCTATTACCTATATAAGACTATATAGATACTATAGATAATCTAATCTAATATCTATTAGAAATAAAGAATATTAGAATCTAATATAATTTTAATAGTCTATCTAATAATAATAATCATTCTAATAGCTGATTAGCTAACTTTATATACTATAGTAATATAGTATTTACTAATAATATAGATAATAGAAAGTCTAGCTAAGGATATATAATAAAGCTCTTTAGTAGACCTATTATATAGAAGTTAGGATAATAGGATACTATAACTATATTATCTATAGAAGTAGAATATCTTATAATCTCTATAGTAGTAAAGGAATAGATTAGTATAGAATAACTATTTAATAATATTAGTCTATTATTAGATAATAGTCTATAGATATTATATAATAACCTATAAATAATCAGGCTACTAATATAGGATAGTTTCTACCTATATATATAGCTATATTATATTAATATCTATTACTATTAGCTATAGTAAGAAGTATAATATAGAAAGATATCTATTAGCTAGATATAGATAGATAAGATAGCTACTAATAGACTTATAAAGATCCTTCTATATTAGAAATATCAGTATTTTATCAAACTAATAGGTCTTATAGAAATCAAGTATCTAGATAATATAGATATCTAAGGTCTTCTAGATAGGGGTATATTAAAGGGTAGAAGGATAGGATATCTGAACTAATACTGAATCCGGAAGCATTATTTGCTATATCCACATCCGGATAGCGTTTACCTTTATATCTAACTAGAGCGGCCGATGAAAAACGGATCATGTAAATATCCTAGAAATATCATCTATAAAAGGGGCAGGAATTCCCCTATAGAAACGGATCTATTAGAAGGATCTAAGCAGCGAATACGAATAGCATTTTACCCCCTGTTCAATACTTGGGGGTCCTTTAGAAGCAGAGTTGATTCGCCCGGCTTCTTCAAGTACTCGTCAATGACATTGGCAGTTGTCAGCTAGCCTCAACTCCTTTGATTGCGCGCTTATCGCTTGGAATTATTCTCCACCCACCTTTCATAGGGCTAGCTGTCTCGCGCGGCCGTGCTCAAGCCCCTAACCTTAACCCCTGTTCCCCAGGCTCCGCCATGAGGCCGGGAGAGCAGAGAGGAGCAGCTAAGCCTCAGAAAAGAGGAAGAGGAAACCGGGCAAAGACGGGAAAAGCAGTATCATCGGATTGGAAATCAATGATGGCCTAGTTCCTTTTATGCGACTTCACGAGTACATGTGGTGATGGTTCTCCTACCACCCTTTTTTCTTCGTTCGTGTTCAACCTCCTGAACGAAGCATGGAGGGTTCACCAAGTTTGCTGCTTTGCGTCTTGTGCGCTTTGAGAGGACGACGAGATGGGAGAAATCCTTGTGTTTCAACCCACAAGGAAAGGGCCTCGCTTCAGGTGAGGAGGAAGAGGTATCGGATTGCTCAACCCAAAAGCCGATACCTGTCACAAATTTCCCTTCACCTCCAAATTCTTTCTGATGGGCTGATGGAACGGTTGTGAGATTATCATGTCACAGCGCGAAATCCTTCGCCCCGTTTTTTTCTCTTACGTGGTGGAGGGTGCGGCAAGGGCTGTCCCGTCCGCCAATGACTATCTGCGAGACCTCCCCTCTCAGAGTTGATGGGCTGGCTCATCGGGGACGAGTCTTCCTCTCGGTCGCGAAGGATCAATCGGGCTCAGCACAGCACAACATTGACCGTTGCACTGAAGGCTCGAATGGCTTCGTGTCGATTCTCCTCAGTGCAGTTAGCTCGCTGGTCGTTCGTTTTCCGAGGTCTGCTGCATTTACTTCGTACATGAGCTGAAGATATTGATCCCTCGGCAAGCCCTACGAGGCGCAGCCATCTCAGAAAGAACAATGAAGGTCCTTTTGTTACTTCGCTCCCGCAGGCTTCGCTGGAGCAGCTTTGTCATCCACTCAAGTCTTGCCTTGGTTAATACTAATAGAGGAAACCAGCAAGCAGGCAGACAATCCATGCATCATGCACGGTCGGGTTGGAGACCCGACCGTCGAGCAAGTGTCCTTCAGGATGAAGGCCAGAAGGAGCAGGGGAAGGGGAAGGGGTCAAAGGACTGTGCGGCGCCTAATACTTGTCCGCTACCACTAATATTACACGACAGACCGGAAGAGCGGTACGGGCTCTCGACCGTTCCTGGATTCCAAGTCCGCGCTGTCGGCCAATCGTGGCCCTGCGTGGCTTCTTGCCTTGAGCGTCCCGCGCGGGATTCGACATTGAGAATTTTGTACTCGCCAGGTCGTGGTGCTGTTCTTCAGGCTCCCCACATAATAATACTATCCCAGGATCCGTTGTTAATCAATGCCTTCTTGTCTTACTCGTAGATAACTCACCCTGTCCTGAACTGCCTGCTCATTCCTGCGGTAACGTCAGCCGGTTTCCATTGATCGTCGTCAACCAATTTTTCTGTTCTTCACGTCTCTGAGCACCAACGAACCCGGCCAACGGCTACTTCGGCAGCAAGGACAATCCTAATCTGACTCCACAGGGCACGCACGTAGGGGGCTCGTACTCAATACACTTGTCTCTCTTCCCCTCTCTCTTTTATCGTGCTCCGTTGTCTTTTGTTGGACCTCTTTCCTCCTCCTCACTTTTATGTCGTCCATCCCGACTCGGCCGCCCTCCCAGAACCACCAATATACGCCGTTCGCCATGAATCAGGATCTCGAACATCAGTATGACGGCCTCCAGGTGGTCCCCAATGACCCGACCCAGGACAAGCAGCCGTATGGCAACCCCTACGCCCCATCATCATACCCGGGGACCGCGGTAATGGGCACCTATGTCGGCCAGGAGGCCTTCACGCCGCCTGAGAAGCGTGTAGCCGGCATGAGGAGGTCGACTCTAATCATCGCGTCGATAATTGTCCTTTTGGTGGCCGTTATCGCTCTTATTGGCGGGCTTTTCGGATCCAAGATCGGTACCCTAGAGGATAAGCTCGCAAGCTTTGTAAACGCGACACCCACACCGTAAGTGCCTTCTTGCCCATAGCATCTCATGATATATCGCGCTCCACTTTGCGCGTACATGCAAACCCATCTTTTGGCAACCCTTTACCCTCCCTCCAAGCTGCTGCGCATGTCGAGCAAGAACAAGAAGGCGCACATGAGGGAGGGGGAGAAAGAACGGAGAAAGTGCGGGGAGAGACAATGGGATCCTCGACAAGCTGACCGAAACAAATTGCAGAACGAGTACCGGAAGCAGTGATTCCACAAAAACCTCGCCCGACGTTTACCCCACCGAAACCGATATCGTCGTTGCCGGCTACGAGTACATGGGCTGCTACGAGGACGCCTCGGACCGCACACTCGCCAACAACTCTTCTAACCGCGATACCATGACCAACGCCCAGTGCGCCGTATTTTGCGGGCGCTTCAAGTACTTTGGCACCGAGTTCGGCTCCCAGTGCTACTGCGGCGAAGAGCTCACCCGTACGAAAGCCGTGCCCCCTGGCACTGCGCCGACCACTGCAGTGGCTCCGAAGCGGGAGCGGAGAACTGCGGTGGCTTCTTCTACCTCAGCTTGTGGAGGAAGACTACGTAAGATGCGTCTCCAGCTCAAAAAAATGTTTGGCGGGGATGGAGCATCCGGAATACCCAAAGCGACTCAGCCTTTTTTACTTCTTGCGTTCCTTTTCTTTTCCCTTTTCTTTTTCTTTTTCTTTTTCTTTTTCAGTTCAATGTCTCTACTACTTCATGATGATTTCCCTCACCTCCATTGGGTTTCCTTCTCCCATATTTGTATTTCTTTACTTTCCAAAGTAAAACCCCTTCGATTAACGTGTAAAGCGATTTGCATCTCTCTCATTTCTTCGTATTTGGCGCTCCTCGGGACGGAAGCGCTGCATTTGGACTAGGCCTCGCGTTTGGCCAGTGGGAAAGGCAGGTTGATTAGGGGCTCCCTGCAATACAAGAATTCCTAACGTCTCTTGTTTCTCTCTCCCTCCTTTGCTGCAAGAAAGTCGTCGTCTTCCCAAGTCAACACATATGCAATGTGCACCTGGCTTTGAGAAAAACAGCTCTGGTTCGGGATACCACACCAACCGGGCAAGGCACTGGCCCAAACAGGCCGACAAACCGCCCCACGAGAAGAGCAGCCAAGGGATGCGTATGCTTTCAACCAAAACAGCGAAGGACAGACACCTATTCGGTATTCTCCCACATATACCGAGGTATCTCTCTGAGCATATAGAGTCGGCAATGTACTTCATACCGCCTACCGGGAGCCACTGCCCCACCCCAGTGAGCCTCCCGAAGAGCGTTGGCCTTTGCGTTCACCAAGAGGGGCGTCCAGGCCGGGAGCAAGGGTGGCTGATCTTTGGCATTTTCAGCGAAGAACTTGTCCGAACCCACGTCGAGAATCTCAATCAGGAAATTACGACTCGCCCTGAGGTTGTCGAGTGGGGATGGTATCTTCGGGTTCGGTCATGAGTCGATGCTGTGTGTCGACTTTTATAGAGGCGGAGGATGAAGGGGAAGGTTCTGGAGATCTTCGGGGTACCCACAAGATACCGGTATACGCCTTGTAATTCCGTATGCCTCGATCTAGAAAGAAGAAGAAAAGAACATGATGAAACTAAACACCGAGAAGTTGCAATATGCGAAGCATCATTGATACCTCCTCAAGTAAACGTGACCTGTTTGCCCATCAGACTCCTATATGCATCGTCAAGCACCTGTCGCTTCCGCTTCCTCGTATCCTCTTCGTCGCTCCCAGTCTCAGCGTCATCCTTGATCTCGTCCTTATCGGTGATCCGGGGAGCCAGGCCCGAATATGACCGTCCGCATGCGATGTATAGATGCCACCCGCGGCGGTCGCACCTCCCATATCGGGCCCAAGCAGTCGGCGGGCACCGCCAGCACCGCGCCAAGCCATGCACGTTATTCTATTCTTTGAGGAATAGTCGAAGCCAGTAGAAGAGGATCCAGGTACCCTCATACGCGAGACGACGTAGCCCTCGTGTAGGTCAAAAACGAGAATCTCTTGCTCATTAGGCCAGAAAAGAAGCTCGCGGCATCCTCCAGTGAGGTTGCTCGGAGGGATGACCATGTGTAGAGGTCCGATAGTGGAGTTCCGGACGGTAGAGCCGAATCCCGCAAGGGTGTTGGCCCCCGTAGCAGCGTTCCATACGCGGATACGCCTATCGAGCCCGGCCGTTATGATGTAGTTGCCGTCATCCGTCCAAGCAAGGCCGTTGACCGCGTCAGCGTGGGCGGTGGCGGCCTCGCGCACTTTTGGCATGTAGCTCCAACCCAGGCCGGACGCCATGGCATGGTTGTACCGGTGGAGGATGCCGAGCGAGTCCTCCATGTCCAGCATGCCGAGGGGCTGAGGGCGCGGCGAACGTCCCAGACGCGCGCTTTCCCGTCCGCGTGGCCGCTAGCGAGGACCCGCTCATGGCGGGGGCTCCAGGCGACGGAGAAGACGGCGCCGCCGCTCGCGAGTAGGCTCCGGGCCGAGGAGTTGGTCCTCAAGTCCACGAGGCGCACGTTGGAATCTTGGGTGGCGCAGGCGATGACGGGACTGGAGGAGATGGGGCTCGCGGCGTGCGCAAAGACCTTGGATTTTATGTCGTAGTGCGCGGTGACAGCCGACGTGGCGCAGGACCACAACTTTAGAGACTTGTCAAAGGACCCGGTGAGGAAGTAATCCTTTTTGAAGGGGTGAAAGTCTACGTGGGTCACGCCGCTGATGTGGCCTTCCATGAAAAGCGCCGGGCGCTGCCTTCCGATGGCGCTCAAGGGACGGTACAAACACGGCTGGTGGGGTCGGGGCAGGACTCAAGGTCCCATATCCTGATCGACCCGTCCGCGCCGCCGGACACCATTCTACGAAAAAATAAAGGAGTCAGAAGAGTGAGCGAGAGGCAGGAAGCTGGTTTTATGTGGAGCCAATGGAGCGACTCACATTTTCCCATCAAACTTTTCTATCGCGAGGCTGTTCGCGCCGCCGCCGTGGGCTAGGACGGCGGTATCGTGAATATCGCGGCCACCACGGTCGACGCCATCCCCGGCGCGCTTGCCACTCGCGCCGTCAAACCGGTGGTCCTGCGCGAAACCGAAAGACCGGAGGAAGTCGGTCGTGACGGTTTTGGCAAACTCATGAGGGGCCAGCGACCCGGCCTCGCGGGAAAACAGGCGGTCCTGCATTCATTCTAAGAGGGGTGGAGGCGTCTAGAGGAGGAGGCGCAAGGCTGGCCTAGCCACTAGCGGGGAAATCCAAGCTCCCTCTTTGTTCCCTCTGTTGCTATATTACCTTTTACGTTGTATCTCGCGCTTTTTATCTAGTAGAGGGCAACGCGATGTATTCGTCAATGAGTGTGTGTCTCGGTAGGTTGTGCACTTACTATCATCGTCAACGCCGCAAGACGAAATAGTTATTTGACAGATGACATCATCTGCCATAAGGCAACGTTCCTCCCCCACTAAAATATTCCCGACTCCCACTTCAACGTCGAGACTCATACGCTCCTTCTCTCCTCGTCTTCACTTTATCCCCAAGGTCAACATCCTACCTGTAGGCCTCTCCCGTGCCAGTACTAGAGGCTCAATTCAGACCATTCTAGACCTGTGAGAGGAAAGTGGGAAATAATCAGAGAGCGGAAAAAGATTGGCAACGGATCTCCTATGTTCAGCTTTCCTCCTTTACGCTTATAACACTAGGGGCAAACATCGAGTGAGCCGGGCGGCGTCATACAACTTCTCTTCCGGCCTCACACATCGGCCGACTTAACCCGGTCTCACCTTTTGACTCTATTGAGGTTTAAACGAGCCCAACTAGTGGCCCGCACGATGTCTTCACCGAGTGAGCAGGATGAGGATCCTACCGACTATCTCCCTCGCCATCGGTGAGAAGCGGCGGTCAAGGCACGCCTGCACCCGATACTCCGGATGGGCAACGTCGTCGCCAGGCTACCGTTTTCGATGCAGTTGCCGGTTCGTCGCAATGCTCATTTCCTCGCAACGCGAGTTCGTTTCCTCTAATTGGCAGTGGCCGAAGCATGTAGGGAGAATATCATCCCGTCCAGACATCGCCTGGAACCTTCGGACAGACGAGGCTCCGCTGCAAGAGCCTAGGGCCAAAAGGCATTCCACGAAGAACACGACGCTGGCGCCTGAAGAGGTGCTCTTTCGTCGCAAGGAAGCCCTGATCGGTGGCCGCATCACGACATCTACATGGCGCACGAGCGAGACTTGCCAGGCGGGGACAAGGGATCCTGCCATCGAGCGATCTCCTCAAGTCCGTTCACTCGTACGCGAGTCGCTTCTACGACGCTCTCGGGGATCATGGCAGACGTGAAGCGCACTACGTCGGTCGGCGAAACATAAACGAGGCGAGCATGGATGAGACGGCTCTTCTCGCCCTTGGCATCCTCCTTGAAGAGGCAGGTAAGGAGGCACTCGGAAAGAGGGGCGACCTTGTCTTCACAGAAGGTGAGGATATTGGGGGAAATGGAGACGGCAAGGTGGAGGCGGAGACGGGTGAACAGGCCGCCGATCCTCCTCGCATAGGTGACGATTCCAGCCTGCCATCATCCCTCACGGTCTCCAATCTACAAATCAGATCTGCCGAGCGACGCAAGCGGAGGAGATTTTCATAGTGTGAGTGGGGTAGGGTCTTTTTTTCGTTGGTGAGTCTCGAACAATCCAAAGGATGAGAAACAACCTATCACTTTGCCCATGGAGGCGGGGGAGGGCCGGAGGAAGGCTGAGACGTGGCCCGTGAGGTTGCGTATTCATATCCTTCATATCAACCTCAAGCCAAGGGTAAGATGTGGGTGGATGGGTGTGGAATATGCGATTGTCCACTGGGCGTGTGAGCGTGCGGGAGAGGGAGAAAAAAGACGCCGAGTGAGCGGAGTTGGGAAGCTCCGGAAATGAGAACCTCGTTGTCGGTAGCAAGTCATCTTTCGCGGACGGGGGTGTGTGAAGGGATGGCGAAAGCTTCTTGACCTGATCAAGGTGAGCGCTCACCGGGACCCCTGCTTCATCCCTCTGAAGACCAAGTTTCATTCGCTTGGCCGTGAGCCTCAGCGCTCGTCCGATCAGCCGTCTGGCCCACTTTCCCCAGCCTTGGACCAGCATGAACATTTTTACCGTTGTCGACATGGTATCTTTCGAAGAAAAGGGTGCGCGTCCCTGGGACAACTAGATTAAGGAAATACCTTGTTCGAGTGTAGCTTGGGCCACCCAAGCTCGGGGTGTCGCTTTTTCGGAGCTCGACGAGTGTTATCAGTGGAGGATACCTTGGGCGTGAAGGCAACGGGATTATTGACGGGTGGGTACGCAATTCTTGTAGCTCATACGTGCACTCGTATCTTGGCCGCCCCGAGACTCCGATCATTCATTCCATCTCATCGGAGCCGGGGCTTTCCCCGCAAAACTTCGCCATCAGAATCCCTTGACCCTTCTCGCACTTCCCCCAAACCCGTTATGCTCCACAAGTCTTGGGGCAACCCAGGCCTGCTCCGAGACATTTCTGGTCTGGTCTGGCCAGGTTTGGTCAGCCCAGGGGCTTTGATGGGAGTGGGACTTGGCTTTCCTTTTTTTCCCTCATCTTTCTTCTTCTTCTTCTTCTTTTCTTTTTCATTTTAAGGGGGACTCATCTTCCTAACCACTACATGACCTGACCTTGCAACTATTGGTCTTGGCATGAGAAAGGAGAGCCTTTTTCACAAGTAGGGACTTGGGCCGCTAGACTTTTCAAGCCAACAGCAAAGTGCAACCACGCAGCTCTCGAACGACACCTCTCATGTTCGAACGCCGACCCTGTTGGTCCTCACCGAGCATTTGTCTCACCGTCAGCAGCGACCCCTGCCTCTCTTGTCAGGATGTGCAAGACACGGCACATACAAGGCGGAACAGGGTCTCTGCCCAAGATCAGACTGACAAATGGATGGACCCTTCTTGAAATGACCAGGTCCAAGTACTGGATCCCGTGAAAGTAGTGTAGGGAAGACGCGCAACCTTTTGTATAGGGGAACGCCCCCTCTCTCAATGCTAGTGTTCGAATTGATAATGGGTGACACAGAGACACGCACAAGCGATAACAGCAGTGCACCTCTAAATGAGATTGCCAGGCATCATTAGACTGGGTTCTCGCAAAGTGGGCGTCCACCCGTGTCGCTCTGGAAAGATGGCGGAGTGTTATATCCGAAGGCTGGCCTGCACTCACCGAGCGGCGCAGTAGAAAAGCACATCATGATGTACAAGTAATATGGTACCAGCAGAGCGACAGAATAGCCTGATGAAGTATTATCCCAACATGGGCACACATATACTAGAACTCCCTCTCATACACACCGCCGTCCTCTATCTTCAATTACAACCTGCAATCTCTCAACCACGAAGCTGCAAGGGACGAAAGTGCAGGCTGTCGAGGAAACCCGGCCCCGATATACGAGGCCCGAGGCTCACGAGTAGCGATGCCCGATAGGGAAAAGGTGGCCGGGAGGCGACGTCGAAGAGAACCTGAAAAGTTGAATGTGATAATGACGCTTCCAGCCCCATGGCGCATCTTGGTTTTTCACTCTGTGTGATTCCATCAGCCCGCCCCCGCCCCTTCCTGACCGCCGATTTCTGATTTCCGGCTCCTCCCCTCTAACCCCCTTCCCCCTCCCCCTCCCCGAGAGATGTGGATTGCTTTTTTGTATTTTTCTCTTCTTTCCGCTTCCTGGAGGGGCCTGTCAAGCCTGTCTCGACTACCAACCATTTCTTGCATCGAGGACACATCACTCATGCTTCGTCAGAATGACAAGAGGACTCGATCGATACCAGTATGACACCCCTCTCGCGATCGGAAACAGACTACAGGGGGTTGGCGAGCCTGCAGCTAATCACGTACATATTTTCTTTCTTCTTCTTCTTTTCTTTTTTTTTCCTCGCTTGCTTCCCACTTCCTCCTGATCAATGAGGATCGAAGGAGTTATGGAGGAAGAAAAGGGCAGGGTCCAGTTTGATCCGCTGTCAACCTAGAAAATGACGACCCCTCCCAGCCCACTGCCTCCCTCTACCGTGCCTCACGCGCATTTGACTTGGATGTGCGAACACACACACATGCGCACACGCGCATCGCATCTATTCCGTGGATCCGTCCATCCACGATCGATGCGCGGGTAGATTATTAAGGCAAGCACAAGCGCGGGGGTCGCACGTGTGCAACTAATGGTTTGGTCTCGGAGCACCCCACGTGTTGGAACCTTCGACAACGGAGCAGGATGTGGGCAGATTGAAGCATACAGGGTGCGGTGCGCAGATGCAGGATGCGGCGGAGAGGAAGGGAACGGGAGGAGATGGATGATGCTGGCTCATGATGCACGGCGATCTTCAAGGAAACTTCCCACGTCGCCCTTCGCGCAGTAATTCCGTCTTGCCTTCTTTTTCTTCTTTTTCCCTCTCCCTATCTCTCTCTCTCCCATACACACTTAACCCGTTTTCATATTAGCTCATCTTCCAAGGCCCGTGTTAGCGGCGTGTGCCTTGCTTTCTTTCAGCTTCCATTCGCACTTCATCGCATCGAAATACCCTTTCAGACAACAACCAAACGTAAGCGCAGGAGGACGTAGCCAAGGCCACCGCCGCCTCTTTCTTTTTGTCTTCTTCGGTTACACGCGAAGCGAGCGCACCGTAAACGCATCTGCTCTTACATGGTTGGCTTTCAATCTTGGCACAATGCGAGCTAAGTCGCAGCACCAAACGGAGAAGAGGAAGAGCCTTTTTTTTTTTTTTTTTAAACCCCTCTTCTCATTTCTTTCATCTTGTTTACTTCTTTTTATATTATTTTCCTCCTTCCTTTTTCACCTTCACCCCCAAACCGCCGAGTGCGCTATAGCGTGCCTATTTTAGGCTCTTTTCGTGTGTTTGTACCAAACGATGGAAATTGAAATTCTCGTTCATGTTTGCTTTTTCTCTCGGTTCTCTTGCCCCAAGAGGCATAGTCGTAACTCTCAGATATCACTTCCCGGGCGGCATAGAATAATAAAAGAAAAAAATGACAGAGATGGCGGTAAAAGAGCTAACAATCACAAAGAGGGATGGAAAAATTCGCCATCTTCTTTCAGCTTGAGAACGGAGGTGGCCAAGAAGTAGGTCAGTGTTCCATGCCGTCGATGCCATCGACAACTGTCTCTCCTTGATACGCAGCGCCGCCAGCTTCGAAGAGGGGGTGCAGATAGCTTCACCTTGACTCAGTTCTCGATTGGCCCCCTTTCCTCCCATTTTTTGGGCATTTATTTTTGCAACTCAGGCGTACACCGACTTGTGCCGATGGAAAGGAGAGGAGAATTAGATGAGATGGACTCGACGCCCGACATGGCAAGAGACAGGGCAACCAGCGGTTACACCGCCTGGGTCCGTTGGTTCTCACAGACCGGCTACTCGAGGAGATCCATGCTGGCTGACATCTATCTTGCCTGCATGGTGAGGGTGCCCCATTCAGAATCAACAATGGGAACCACGACGGCGAGAGATGTCAGCTCGAACACGCCCATCACTGTATCCTAAGATGAGTGGAGGACTATGATCGCCACCCCCATACTTCAATGTTGTATAATTGCCCCTCCGCAGGGGTATGATCAATGTGAGGGTCCTTCCCGAGATGCAATGAAGGGTGTGTGTCGTGCTTCCTGGCCTTGGTTTCTGTCTTGGGTTCTTTTTTTCTTTTTCTTTTTCAAAGTCAAGGCACCAATACTCCGCAAAAGTCCGCTGGCACCGAGTGGAGGAGCATGGTGCCCCAAAACAAAAAGGAATGTCGAAAGAAAGAAGACCTCAAAAAAGCAAAGAGCATACGATGGGGGTCACAGAAACGACTGGGGCAGAGACGACCCAAGCTATTGTCATGTTGGCAGGCAACTTCTTGTTTGTTCTGGGCAGGCATCTTGCCCCTGTTCACCCGTTTGCCTGGGAGAAATAGGGAAATCAATAGCTGAAGAAGAAAGGGAGAGCGAGGAGGGGGGCATCCATCCTAGGACGGGCGGCTTTCGGCTTTCGGCTCCCTCTCTGACTCGATCATCCCCGTCAACGTCCCACAAAGTGTGTACGCCCTATTCAACGAGAGGCTTTGAATGAAAGGGGTTGATGATACGCGCCGTGCGTCAGTCAAAGGGAACGTAACGCTATACTTGGATACCGATGGGCGGTGGGCCTTTAGACCGAGGAGGGGATCGCCGGTAAACGATGGGGGCATGTCGTCAGCGCGTCGCACAACTTCGAACGTTCCCGGGCGTCCTACTGGGCGGAGGCGCGACATCGCCCTATCTTTTAAGATTTGAAAACGAGGCGGTTGTGGCGTGAGACTTCCCGGCCACGCCAATATTGCGGAGTTCGAATACCCCTGTTTTTGTAAAATAGAAAAAGGGGGAAAGAAAAGAAAAACACCCTTGGCTAGCTCCCATCACGCCAGTTTTTATTTTTCCACTACTAGGACCCCAATGGGACGCGCGAGGACGCATGGCTGAACAATAGAATCGGGCCCAACCTCGGCGCCTGGGTCAAGGTCGCAGTTCTCGGCACGGCGAGAGCGCCGAGAAGAGCGGGGCGCCCTCCCCGAGTCAGCACGGAGGCAGGTCAGGACAGGCTAAGGAGGTAGCCCAGTCATGCCAACAACAAGGATGCTGATTTAAGCGACGTGTTCGAGAAACCTGCTGAAACCCTCCCCGCAAGCATACCACTTGAAGTTTTTGGTGCCCCGCGCGTGCGCGCGCGCTTGGTCAGTGTGGAGAGGAGCAAAATCCTACCATTCCTACGCTTTAATCCTTCGATGCTTCATCTCATGCCACGCACCAAGATAGGAAATCAGAACTTAAAATAGTTGGTCTCGCATGAGTCCTTGTGCTAGCCTCGACTAGGAAGGCTTGCTGAGAAAAAGATAAGGGCGGGTATGAATTGACGCCCAAGGTGAGTAAGGAGCTCCGCTGTGAAGAGGTAAACCCTCTGAGCTTTTTCGACACTGGACCCTTAATCGCGGCCTCGCATCTTCCTGCCCAACATGGGGTTAGGGGCATGAGATGATACAATGCAAAGAAAATAACAGTGGTTCAAGTCTTGATCCCCGTCGTCTCCCTAGGCAGGGAAGGCGAGAAATCGACAACGAGGCTACGTGTTGGGTGTTG